GGGTGGGGGGAGAAACTCGCTTAGCTTCTTTTCATCTTAGTGATCGACAAAAACAAATCTTCATGACTTTCCATCAACGGGTGACACCACACTCCTCAACTTTCATTCTCCCCCCCCCTTTTCTCATTTAAAGTCTCTTTTTAAACGGGAGTCCGGGAATCCCTCCTCCTCTTTCGCTTGGGAGGGGGGGTAGAAACACGCTTTACTTCAGTTCATTGTACCGATCAACAACTTACAATTTCAGCCGTTCCTTTTCATTTCATTCGCATTTTCGCTTCATCACTCAGGTGGCGTCTGGCGGATCCGCTAAGCCCCGTGCGGGGCCGCGAACGCGGCGAGGTTCATTGGGGCATGAGGGGAACCTCAATTTCCGACCTTCCGGTCGAGAAAGAGGCTTTTCCCCTCGCGTGCCCCGAGTTGGAGCCCCTCTGGGGCTCGTCCGGGTCTCCGCTTGCGCGGATTCCCCCCTCGGCCGCAGGCGGCCGAAGACGCCCTCGGGAGCGCCCCGAGGTTGCGTCCGCCATTCGCGGAAGCCAAACCGGAAGCCGGTCTGACGTTCTTTCTGACAGAGATGTGACTTGGGGTGATGGCCCCGTTTACTAGAGAAGAATGCCCCCCAAAGCTCTTAAGAGCGCTGGGGAGCAGTGAGGGATTCCCCACGGGGAAAGATGGTGCTCCCCTAGACACAAGAAATCCCAACAGCCTCTGGGCTGGGCTGCATCTCTACCTGCTCCCTGGAGCAGGACTATTACACTGACGGCACTGAGTTACGGGGTGTAATCCACAGAGTCTGGGTCAGAAAGGCAGAATGTAAAGTAAGTCACTCGACAGCCAAATAGCCCGACAGCCTGAGTGGTGGAATGTGACAGGACTTGAGGGGCCGAGGTACAAATCCACACTCTGCAATGCAGGCTTTGGAACACAGACTGCTTTGGTTGCCTTGGGTGAAGAGCAGGGCATCTAATGGGTCCGTTTCCTCCCATATGTTCTTGCCCAGGAACTAAGATCCCAGGAAGAAGCCCTCTTAGCTGTCTCATTGGCCCAAAAACTCATTGGGGGGGGGGGAGTCTGACAAGAGGGCTTTCCAGTGGTAGCCCCAAGATTACAGAACGACCTCCCCCAGGGAGGTGTACCCGGCCCCCTCTGTCTTGCTCTTTAGAAGGCAGGTGAGGAAGGTTTGATGAGTGACAGCATTTTGATTAGTTTTGCCTGTTGTCAACCTCTGTCTCTAGTTTGCCATGATGTCCGGGGATGGGAAATTCCTTAGGGTGTGTGTGAGTGCTGGAGTGTGTGAACCTCAGGGTTGTAGAAGCAGTAACTCTTCCTCCAAGATACCTCCCTGAATGCCAGGGACAACCTTGAAGTCAAAACTTCAGGTTTGCTTCTACCAGGGCTAGGGCTTTCTCAGTGGCCCCATCTTGGTGGAATGAGCTCCCGGAGGAGATCAAGGCCCTGCGGGACCTTTTACAGTTCCGCAGGGCCTGCAAGACGGAGCTCTTCTGCCAAGCTTTCAGCTAGTGAGCCACCACCACTATAGTGCCCTGGCCCTTGATCTCTAACATCTAGCCTGTACTGCAGGAAGAGCTTGAGCAGATCGATTCTTAGAAGGTTGTCAGTTAACACTGCCATTCTCTGGAATGTGTGTGGGGGGAGATCCTCCTCTTCCCCTCTGCCTGATACACAAACAATGCCTCCTGTCTGAGTTGTTCTGCTTTTGCTTTCCCGACCTTGGAAGGCCCAGCTGCTCCTAACCTGCTGGGAACAAACAGCTCCTATTTTGCCCGCTCTCGTTTCTGCGCACGTGCACACAGTGCTTATTGGCTTCTGCTTGTAATGGGGGTGTTTTGAAACTAGTATAATTTAGGGTGCCCTGCTGCCTTGGGCCATTCCTGACAAAAGAAGTCCACGTGTCATAGTTATGAACTACCAAAAGAAGCCGTCTGGAATAACTATCTTCAGCACTTTATGAAACTGTTTTAATAGTGGAATTGTTTCTATAAGATTTTATGTTGTTTAACTGTATTTTATGCACTGATTGTGAGCCACCCCTGAGTCGGCATTGCGGGATATAAATGTGATTAATAAATAAAGCTGTGCTCTTCTCGCTTTCATAGACAAGGGAACCATATATTTCCAGGGGTCAGAAGTGCAAATTTAGGCAGGAGGTTGGCAATGTGTGATTGGTGCACTTTTGTTTGAACTGTCTATAACTATGGAATTTCCCGTGTGAACCTCAGTTCTGACACGGTACCGTTCCACCTGGACCATGCAGATATCTCAACAAATCACTGCCAAGGAGAGTACTGTTGAGAGTCTGTTGACCAGGGGTCTGACACCCATCACCAGTTTAAACCTTTGATTATTAACTTGTGGCTTGTTATGCATCTTCTTATTATTTACGTTGTAAGCCACCTTGAGTTCCTATAAGGCAGAAAGACAGCTGAGAAATGGTTTAAGGAAAAAAAGAATACTTGGCGACTTTGGGACAGACACACCTTCTTGTCCCACCCCGTGTCGGAAGGCTGTTATGAGGATAAAGGGGGCGATATTTGTCCCTCACCTTTCATTTCTACCACATCAACTGGAACTTGCTTCTCTCTCATGCGGAATATTTCAAAGTTGGTCACTACACCCTAAAAAAAAACAGGAGAGAGAAAAAAGAAAGGCAGTGTTGGGTCTTGGAAATGTTTTATAGGAAAGGCTGGCCTGCTGCAATGAGCAAGCCTGCAGAGCTAGGCAGGATCCTAAAATGTGTATCCATCATCTGGAGACATTGAGCCATCCAATTTTCTATTTAAATACAGAGCCAGCCAATGCTATTGAAGTCTCACAGGCAGAAAGCACCTCAAGCCCACTGATTTGGCTGGAAGCAGGTGAACTCTAAAGAACTCTGCCAGGTTCACTGGACACCCAAGGGCCAGGAATAGCAAAACAGAACCGGTTATGGCGAAGCTTCGATTCTGTACCTGTGTACCCTTGGGAGTCCTGTCTACTTTGACACAAAGGTAATCCCCATTCTTCTGCCAGTGTAGCTTGCAGTCCACCACGTTAAATAGGTTCCGAACTCTGATCTCCTGCCTGGAGGGCAGCTGCATCAATGTCACCCTCGCAGGAATGTCCTTGTCTTCAGGCACCCAGAAGGCTATGATGTTGCCACCAGGAGACCAGGAAAAGTCTCTGAGGGATGACGATAAAAACACACATAAGAATATAAGAAGACCCCTGCTGGATCAGAGCAGTGGTCCATCTAGTCCAGCATCCTGTCTCTCAGTGGCCTACCAGTTCCTCTGAAAAACCAACAACAGGGCATAGAGGCCGAGGCCTCCCCCTGAGAAGAACCTCAGAAGAGCCCTGCTGGGTCAGACCAGTGAGGGTCCATCTAGTCCAGCATCCTGTCTCTCAGTGGCCAACCAGTTCCTCTGAAAAACTAACAACAGGGCATAGAGGCAGGGGCCTTCCCCTGATAAGAACCTCAGAAGAGCCCTGCTGGATCAGGCCAGTGGTCCATCTTGTCCAGTGTCCTGTCTTGCACAAGGCACCCATTTCAGTGGCTAAGATGCATCACTTCAATGTTTTTTTTTAAAAAAGTTCAAAAAGCGAACACATATAGAAGAAGAGAGATTGGGTTCATACCCCGCCCTTCACTTGGAGTCTCAGAGCGGCTTACAATCTCCTTTCCCTTCCCCTCCCCACAACAGACACCCTGTGAGGTAGGTGGGGCTGAGAGAGCTCTGACAGAAACAACCCTTTCAAGGACAGTTCTGACAGAACTATAGCTTACCTGAGGTCACACCAGCAGCGGCAAGTGGAGGAGTGGGGAACCAAACCTGGTTCTCCCAGATTAGAGTCCGCACACTTAACCACTACACCAAACTGACTTTACTCATTTTTTCAGAGAAGAGAAAAGGGAGGGAAACGTTCATGGTGGCAACAGGGACAATGGTTTCCACATCTCAGCGAACATTAAGACCATGTGTCAAAAGGGATTCAGATATCAAGGGGAGAGAACAAGGCACACTCACTTGATCCCGCTGATTTTCAAACTCTTCTTGTCCAACAAGCCCATTGACTAAAGAGAGAAATACCATCACATTTATTTATCTATCATGTCACAAATAACTTAGCACACTTCAGAATCCCACCAATAACACACACTTATGGGTTACAAATTCAACTTATAATGATTTACAACTGTCTCTTGTTGAGTGGAAACTAACTCCACGCAACCTACAGTATTTCCTACAGGCGTGGGTATTCGCATGGATCACGCTAAGACTATGGCATGGACTTTGCTGCCACACGTCTGCAGGCCCGTACCTTTACAGCACTGGCCACCTTGTTTCTTGAGGAAGTTACAAAAATCCTGACACTGCCCAATAAGGAGGCCAATGGCAGCTTTCGAGTGGCATTACGAGATATGTGAAGGCCTGGGGGAAAACCGGGACAATTCGGGGGGGGGGGGGTGGTTCAAATATTTTCCAAATCATTTCTAAAAATATGTATGGTATCAGATTGATCTAATTTCTGTGCACTGAGGACAAGGACGTCCTAGGTTACAAACTGAACTCTCCAATGCAAGAACAAGATGCATTTCTTCCTTTAGGAGGTGCTATTGTCACAAGAAAAAGGTTTCAGTTTTGTTTTTGCATGTGGGTGGGTATTCTGTTTGTAATAATTGTTTGGATACACTATATTTTTAATATGTGATAATTTCATGCCAAGTAAAAATGTCCATGGTCATATTTTATGTTCCTAAAGTAACAGAATGACTTTCAATCTGGAAAAGAAAAAAAAAGTGCTAATGTAGCATTTTTTTCAATTTTTCCAAAAATTTCAGTTTCTTCCCGAAAACCCCTGGGGAAAAAACGTTTTTTCCCCCCGAACGTCAAAATTTCCAGAAATTTTACATCTCTAGGCATTACTGAGAGGTAATTTTTAATTTAATTTTATTTTTTTACCGTCAAGTTGCGGCTGACTTATGATGACCCCCCGTGGGGGTTTCAAAGCAAGAGGCGTTCAGAAGTGGTTTGCCTCTGCATCACACTCCTGGACTCCCTCGGTGGTCTCCCATCCAAGTTCTAACCAGGGCTGACCCAGCTTAGCTTCCGAAATCTAACAAGATCAGGCTAACCTCAGCCATCCAGGTGAGGGCATGGAGGAGGGGTCCTGACCACTAATACGGGGAATGGAGAACCCGAGAACAAGGCAAAATGGTTACGTTCTCTCAGCTTAGGGAGGGAACTACGTCAGGCATCTGTACCGCCAACAGGGGTACTTGAAGGAGAGAAGACACGGGTGAGTGTGGGGGTGCTTGAACTTCTTCTTCATAACCCCCACCCCCACTACTTTTATCCACACCAAGCCCCCAAGGCAGGCAAGAACGGTGAAAAACTATGAGCGGAGCAGAGGGAAGGGCACATGGGGTGGAGTGGAGCAGAGGGCACATGGCCACCACCGCCACCACCCCATCCATTCCTCCATGAGCATGGGTCCATGACTTGTGGTTAACCCACAAAACCCTGCCTTCCCCCCCCCCCCCCATTACTCTGCTTTTTGGCACCTCTGGATAGCGAGGCCCAGCATTTCACAGAGCCTTACTGAGATACATCAGTAAAGAAGACTTACGGGTGTTTCGTAGATGCTAAGCGTATCGGATGTCATTCGAGCAAAGAATTTCCCATCGTGACTCCACCTGAGCAAGTAAGAATTTTGAGAAATCAGGTCCTTTGCTTCCCCATCCTACAACCGAGACCCTCACAACCTGCTCCCGTCGTCCTGACTTACTTAAAAATGGGCCAGTGGGCTGAGCTTTCGCAGTGGAATCCTCGTTTCTTCTGTCCAGTGAGGGTGTCCCATATAATGATGGCTTGAGGATCGTCCTGTGTGTCCATCAGAGGACTGAAGGTCACCAGGTATCTTCATAAAAAAAAAAACCAGATGAAAATCACATGGCTGCAGATTAGCTGTGCTTTTATTTCAAGTGATAAATGACAGATCGAAATAACAGATACAAGATTTTATCTTTTTGCGGCCTGCATTCCCAGGAGGATGCCTGGTTTTGGTGGAAAGTGTGGTCAAGTCGCAGCTGACTGATGACAACTCCCTCAAGGAGACAAACAGAGGTGGTTTGTCATTGCCTGCCTCTGCATGGCAACCCCAGACTTCCTTGCTGGTCTCCCACCCATGTACTAACTACGGCCAACACTGCTTCGCTTCCGAGACTGAGCTAGCATGGGGCTGTCCAGGCCTACGTGGCCAAAAATAGTTGTTTCGAATTGCAAGGTTCTGTTAAACTGCATTGTTTTGGGACATCTTTGTGGGCTACCTAGAATCACGTGGATGCTCTAAGCGTATTGAGCTGACAGGTCCAAACTGCAGACTTGCATGTCTGACCACACAGATGCAGCCTGCGGCTTTAAAAACAAGCAAAAATATTTGGTAACAGAAGTCCACAGGAGATTATTTTCAGTGAGTCAAAGAGATATTCTTGTCCCCACAGTGTAACTCTGCTGCTTCAGACCACCCTCAGCTTGGCCTGAGTAACAAACGAAACTGACGACACGCTATCCCGTTTCAGAATAGCTGCTTACAACAGCCCAGGGCGGTAGTCCCGAATGCAACTCAGAAAACAGGCAACAAAAATGACAGAAGAGAGGAAGCAGCGCTGAAAGCCGTGACCAGCCCCTGCTTTAAGAGGACTCCAGTATCAATATCGAATAGAGAAGGAGAATATTGGAGAAGGAGAATATTCTGGCTTTACTTCCTTAGCAAATCAAACTCATCAGGAGGTACACTAAACACATCCTACAGACTACAGGGCAGGATTCAGCATCAAGAGCCTAGCTATAAGCCTATCTTTCTCCCAAAGGTGAGACCCCCAATGAGGGCAATTTGTCCAACAAAGACCATCAAATCATGAAATGAAGAGCGCAAACAATAAAAACACACAGCCAAGAAATAGCGGCCACACAAATACCAAAAAAAGAGGAAGAGATTGGATTTATACCCTGCCCTTCACTACCCAAAAGGGTCTCAGAGCGGCTTTCAAACTTCTTTCCCTTCCCCTCCCCACAACAGACACCCTGTGAGGTAGGTGGGGCTGAGAGAGCTCTGACAGAAACTGCTCTTTTTCAAGAACAGCTCTTATTAGAACTACAGCTTGCCCAAGGTCATCCAGCCAGGTGCAAGTGGAGGAGTGGGGAATCAAACCCGGTTCTCCCAGATTAGAGCCCGCGTACTTAACCACTACACCAAACTGGCAACATATTTGCTGATTTACAGCCCTGGATTTAGACATCCCATTTTCAAACTGGCCCTGCTTCCTCTGAGACTGATACAGGAGAAGGGCAGGGTCACGAGGCTGCAAGCAAGGGCTTTGATACAGAGGCCTCGGGTATAAAACAAGGACCTTTCCCTCGGTCTCCTTCAGAGAGGGGTCCCAATGTTCTCCAACACCTCTTTATTTTAAAGACGCTCAAACACAGACACACACACACACAAACACGCAGACCTATGATTCATCGAAGGTGTTTCCTACACAACAAGAAGGCGGTGTTTGAAAACACAAAACACAATCCGCCATTCCATGTTCTGGCGATTACAACAAACTGAAAGTGCAGTATTTGGCAGAGGCCATGCGAATTCAAGGTCTCCCTCCTCTACCATTGGGCTGAAAACTTGCACAGGTTTAACTGAGCGGAAAGTGGTTACAGCTTCAAGCGGCAAACAAAGCTCGATATCCAAACTGAGAAAATGTCAAAGACAACACGTGGCGGGCGCCTGCCTACGGAAGAATCATTTCAATCCAGTTTCCGAGGAGAGTACCTTTCACAAGGCGAGAAGTCGATGAGCTGGACCCCCTGATGGCCGAACTTCTGGATCTGCTTGAAATTCTCTCCGCCCCACAGAGCAATGCCCTTCTGATGGAATGTAGCCAGGTAGGTACCCCTCGGAGACCAGCGTACGTAGGTTTCTGTCCATCGCTAGATGGGTGGGATGGGAAGAACACGCGTTACATCTCAGACTGGATCTCATCTCATTTACTGTGCTTTGCTAAGTGAAAGACATCATTTGGAAAACTCCGCATGGGTCGTCGACATCTTAAAACATCCATTAACTGCAAGGAGCCCTGTACTGGACAGCCTGATCTCATCATATCTCAGAAGCTAGGCAGGGTCGGCATTGATTGGTATTTCAGTGGGAGACCACCACAAAAATACCGGGGCTGTGACGCAGAGGCAGGCAAGGGCAAACCACCTCTGAGCATCTCTTGCCTTGAAAACCCCACCGGGTTGTCCTAAGTTGGTTGTGACTCAACAGCAAAAAACACTAAAGTCAACAACAACAAAAAACTGTGAGGAAGCCCAATATCTAGCTTATTAATGGCTGTGAACTACAGAATAGCCTTGTCAAAGAGACCTCTCACTTTTTAACTTGCTTTCTGGCATCTAATGAACCTCCAAACCTTGAAGCCTCGATTTTAAATATTGCACTACTCATTCTTATATCTCTATTATTATTTAGCAGTTGGTTTTGAAAGCTGATTAGCACAAAGGCGAAGGTTTCCCTTGCTCGAAAGCTAGTCGAATCTGACTCTAGGGCGCGGTGCTCATCTCCGTTTCCAAGCCGAAGAGCCAGTGCTGTCCGAAGACTTCTCTGTGGTCATGTGGCTGGCATGACTAAGTGCCGAGGCGCACGGAACACTGTTACTTCCCTACCAAAGCAGTACCTGTTTATCTACTTGCAATTTCTTGCTTTTCGATCTGTTAGGTTGGCAGGAGCTGGGGCCAGAGACGGGAGTTCACTCCGTCACGTGGCACTTGGGTCTCAAACTGCTGGACTACAGACCTTCCGGTCTTCAGCTCAGTGTCTTAACCTCTAAGCCACCGCAGCCCCAATTAGCACAAAAGTAGGATGTAAATAGAGATAATTTTTTAAAAAAATCATTTGTTGGTAGACATGAGCCGAGGGACTCTAAACCACAGATTTGCTCCAATTATACATGTGGCAGTTTCCGTAACTAACGGCGCAATCCTCAGCAGAGTTACACCTGTCAAGTGACTTCAAACAGACTTAGAAGGGCATAACTCCGCTTAGGACTGCATTCTAAATCCTTTCCCTCACATGCTGAAGAATTAAGTCCCCTGAAATGTATACTTGTGACACTCCATGGATTTGTCCTGAACACGTGAAACATTTTCACTAGCAGAACTGCTGCACCCTGATGACGTTTGTCAAGGTATTCTTGACAGCTGCACCAAATCACATACCAAGCCACCTGAATATTTTAAATCAAATCACAGATTGGATTTCTTTGCTTTTCCAGTCATTGAGCACAAGACTGTGCTGTGTGTGCAGAAAACCGCAAGAGACACTCACAGGTCTTTCTTCTATTGCCACCGGCTCCTTGACGTCATTCCAGTAAATACAGGTTCTGTCTCCTGATTCAAAGATCACGCTGTACTGATCCCTACAGTCTGGGTCCTCCAACCAGTAGCGCAAATTTCCCTGTGGGGGTGGGGAATCGAAAGAAAGGATGGAGAAAAGACCAAGA